GGATTATTGAAAGAAGGTTTTATCATTAGAGAGTTGAAAAAGCTATTAGTTATAGCCTCACTTGCGATAATTGGACGGATAATGCTAATCAAAGTTATCTCGGTGTTACTATACACTATTTAACAGAAGAAATCAAAATGAAAACTGGTTGTATTGGTGTTTTTCCCTTGCATAAAAATCATACTGCTGATTATCTCGCTGATTCTTTAAATACAGTTATTGAACAATTTCAATTAGATCGTTCAAAGATTACAGCAATTATTACAGACAGCGCAGCAAATATCAAACTTGCAATAGAGAAGACAATAGGAAAGCACAGACAGTTATCTTGTTTTGCACACATTTTGTCTCATATAGTACCGGATGCGCTAATCAGTATTCCTCATGCACAAGAAATCATTAATAAAGTAAAGAGGATTGTTACAATTGTAAGAAGAAGTGTTGTTGCATCTGATCAATTGAAAAGCTTGAAAATACGTGACGGAAAAACCGAAGGAACTGTGTTAAAATTAATACAAGATATAGTCACTCGTTGGAATTCCACATTTTATATGTTAAACAGATTTCTTGAGCTTGAACAATATATATATCCAGCAATATCTAAGTGTGATAATCCTCCAGATATGTTAAAACGTGACGAAATTCAAATACTAAAAGATGTAGTATCACTTATAAAACCGATTAAAAACGTTATTGTTGAAGTTAATGGAGATTCATATCCAACTTGCAGTGTCATTATACCTTTAGTGCATTGTATGAAATCCGCAATCTATTATACAAAACCTACTACAAGGATTGGAATTGAATTCAAAGAAAAACTTGAAGGTGCAATTGAAAATTGATGCAAAAATTTTGAAAATAATGAAATAATGAGCATTTCTACCATACTTGATCCTCGGTTTAAGAAATTACATTTTGAAAAAGCTTTACTTGCGGCAAATGCGATATCCCGAATTGAGTCATTATTACAAAGAAATAAAATTCGACGAAATATGACTGAGAAATTAAATGCTGGCATGGTTGAAAAAGATTGTGATAACTTATGGAGTTTTCATGAACATCTAGTATCAAAAAATAATACTAATGAAGATTTGAGCGAATTAAGACAGTATTTGAGCCAACCAGTCATTGAACGTAAGAGCAATCCTCTCCAATACTGGAAATCGGTAAAACATACTTTTCCGATGTTGTATGAACAAGCAATAAAGTATGTTAGTGTCCTTGGCACTTCAGTACCATCAGAAAGAATCTTTTCTCAAGCTGGTGATATAAAAACCGATGAACGAAGCAGATTAACCGGTGAGCATTTAAATATGTTATTTCTTGGTTCGCTTGCTTTTGATGATTGGGGATTGGAATAAATTAAGGTACTTTATTTTCAATACTTGGTATCTTATACTTTGTGCTTATATCTTATCTTTTGTATGTTATGTATACATACCTTTATATCTCACTTTTGTATCTTAGCTTGTAACCTACTAAATACCTACTTTATATTTTATATCTTATATTCTAACCTACTAAATACCTACTTTATTTCTTACCTTGTAACCTGGTGATATGATTGTACTATGCGTCATTATATATCGTTTTTTTTATTAAAATAAAGAACGATAAAATACAGTAACAAATATTTTCTCTTCTTATCTTCTTTAATCTCTTTCTATTTCAATTTATTTATATACAGTAACTAAACGATGTAAATATGTGATAATGTTTGTACCTTGTAATAATATGCATGTGATTGAGTGAATGATATAAAAACAACAGAAAACTTTTCATTTTAATTAATAAAATTGTAATATTTTCAGCGATATTTTCAGCGATACCACTACTGGACAGTCTGGACACTATGCATTTTTAAAAAAATATACAATGCGGATTTAATAAAGAAAACTATCTAATGTAAACAATATTAGAGAGTTTGAGTCGCCAGTGAATAATTAAAATTAACAGAGATATTGTAAGCGACCCAACTGGCCAAATTTTATTGATTTAAAACGCTATGTTTCGACCGTGGATCCGGTTCTTTTCAAGCGCAAATACACCTCTCACAAATATATTAGTCAGGCATAATGCCCTAACTACGCCGAATCTAAAAAGTATTTGTGCGTCGGGATCAAACGATACAATATAAAATATTCGTTAAACGGCATACTTCGTTAGATGTTTCCCTGGTAACCAGTTTGCTAGTTCAGATGCGTCCCGAAGAAGTGCGCAAGAAATCAGTCCAGAATTGCGACAAAAGTGCATAATATCTGTGATTGAACAAGTACTTACTGTACTATTGCAGTAGTCTGCTGTAAGAAGCTACTGTGAAATTTTATACTATTTGTTAAAAGTAAACATGTAGCAGAAATGTGAAAACAATATGGAAGTATCTTTTGAGTACAGATCCAACCGGCAGAAACGTGAAAAGAACGTGCAAGCATCTGCCCGTGAGAAAAAGAGCAGTCGAGTGTGCTAGAC